ATTATCCTTTTTGTACTTCTATAATTCTATACTGGGAAAACTAAAGACTACTAAAAGACTTTTAGAGCTAGTAAATGAATACAGTAATGTGCCAGGATATAAAATTAACATGAAAAATTAATAGCTTTACTATACACCAATAATGAATTAGTAGAAAAGCAGGAAAACAATTCCACTTATAATAGCTTCAAATAACATAAAATACCTAAGGATTAATCCAAATAAGAAAGTGAAAGACTTCTAAAATAAAAATTTCAGAACACTGAAAAAAGAAATTGAAGAAGATATCAGAAGACCAAAACACCTTTTATACTCATGGACTGGCAGAATATTGTCAAAATGACCACATTACCAAATTGATGTACAGATTCAATCCAATCCCCACCAAAATGCCAATGAATTCTTCACAGAACCAAAAAAAAGTAATTATAAAATTCATATGGAAATACAAAAGTGACAGAATAGAAAAAGAAATCCTTAGCAAAAACGGGAAGGCTAGAGGCATCACAATTGCAATTACAAAGTCCAAGTAACAAAAATAGCAAGATACCGGAACAAAAATATACATATAGATCAGTGGAACAGACTAGAGAACGTGGAAACAAGTACATGCAACTGTAGACATTTCATTCTGGATAAAGGCACCACAAATATAGTTGGAGAAAATACAGCCTCTTTAACTAATGGTGCTGGGAAATTTCGGTATCCACATACAGAAGATTGAAACTAGAACCCTACCTCTCCTCCTGTACAAACACCAATTCAAAATAGAGCAAAGACATAGATATAACACATGATAGTTTGAAACTGCTAAAAGAAAACAGCAGAAATACTTGAAGACATAAAGTCAAAGATTTCCTGATTAAAGCTCTAGTAGTATAGTAAAAGCAAGAATCAATAAATGAGAATACATCAAATTTAAAAGTTTCTTCACAGAAGGAGACACAACCAATTGAATGAAGAAATAGCTTTCAGAATGAGCGAAAATTATTTCCAGCTACTCTTCACACAGAATTAATATTTAGACAATACAGAGAACTCAAACACCTTAACACCAAAAAACTCCCAGAGCAAGCCTCTCAGAGAGAGTCCAGGTGCTGGAATATAGCTTCATGGGGAAGAGAAGAAAGGAAGTGGGTCCCTGAGACCCAGCAAGGATCTGAAGCAAAAATTGGAGCCCTCAGGGAGAATGAAGAGAGGGACCACAATGCAAAAGAGGGAGGAGGTGGCAAAATGGCACTTTCTCCCTGAATCCCAGCTCGCTGTGGGAGGGAAGAAGCGACTTGAACCTATGGAGGCACAGTGGCTACTGGTGACTCCAGAAGCCTCTACTGAGAAACACACAATGGAACAGAGGATGCTGTGGGCTTCAGTGGTTTGTGAGTGCTCAGGAGAGGGAAGTTGGCCAGTCACCATTTTGGAAAGGGGCCAACTGAGCCTAGAACTCAGAGCAGCCATAAGTCGGCTCCATCTTGGGGCTCCCAGTGTCAGAGTGAGATGCTGCAGTGGGAGATACACAGGATCAGGGAGCCAAGTTCAAGGCAAGAGGCACACAGAGTGTTGTGAGCTGAACAACTCAGGTTCCAGCCTCACAGCCAGAAACCAGGATCAGCCTGGACTTGAGTGGAATTGAAAGTGCAGGCTTGCTGGGATTATCCACCACTACACTATAAATTTATTGCAGGCTTGTTGGGATCAACCAACACAGATGTGGGTTCTGTCTGCTCCCTTTGTCTACCAGTGACAGTAGAGACACACCCAGAAGTGAAGATTTTTTTTCTTTCTTTCTTTTTTTCTTTGCTTTCTCTTCTTTTCTTTTTTTGATTGCTTGTTCCGGTTTTACATGAGTGTGAATATTGTTTCTAGTTTTTTGGTTGTTTTGTTCTGTTCTTGTTTCTGTTTCTTCCTTTCTTTTCCTCCTGCCTTCTTCACCAGTTTTCCAAAGTTTGCATAGCCTTCCTTTAAAATTTTTTAAATTTTTAAATTTTTAAAGTTTTAAATTTTTAAAAATTTTCCCCTGAGAATATTACCTCTATATTGAGAGGATATTTACTGTATACAATCTTCTGGTTTATTTTAGATTTTGTTAAATAATTACAATTCTTGTTCATATAATTAAAGGTGGCAAAGTAATAGTTACCACAGTTTATCATTTTCTAGGCTGTGTTTCATGTTATTGTTATTACCGATTGTACTGCTTTAGCCAAGGTGACATAGTTGTTCTAAGCAGTTGTTCTTCCTTGTATGCCAAAACAAGGCATCCTTTCTTTTATGGCCTGAGAGTCATAACATTACTTTAGGTCAGTGGCAAAGAACAAGAGTCCAGGCCAAATAAACAGTAACTTCTCATCCTCAATAAATTGAAGAGGTAGGATCTTGCAACAGACTCAAAAGCCAAAAGTCAGCTATATTTAGAAGATGTCTCTGAAAAGGAGCCATTGTCATTTCCTAAGGAGTTCTCAATACTACCAATAAAGCAACCTACCATAAGAAATTTATAAACATCAATGCAGAAATTAAAGAAAACAATTAGAAAATTAGAAGACATGGAAACAAGATGCATCCCCAGACTTCCAGCTTGTCAGGGGGAGAGTAAGGTTGAAAAATTTGAAAGTCACACACTTGAACTCTCTGAAATGGTAACAGCAGAAGTAACAAAGCAAGTAGATGAATGAAGCTCTAGAAGAAAATCAAAGTAAAAATAATTTCGCAGATAACTAAAGAGATGATGATGATAATGAAGGACATGGTTAGTGAATCTAGCCTAGATACAAATAAAAAAATAGACGAGTTAGGAAAATAATGGAAACCATGAATGCCCAACATAGGAAAGAAATAGAATTCATGAAACAGATTCAAGGAGATATCCAGGAGATTAAAAATTCTACTGAAGGTATATGCAGAAGAATCAAACAATGTGAGGACAGAATATCAGATCTAAAAGACAGGTTTGCAGTTAGTGATCATGAAAAAAATCACATAGCTCAATCAATAAATGAGTAAATGAATTGAACACATACCTCTCAAAAGAAGTAGTACAAATGGCCAATAAGTATATGAAAAATTGGTCAGTATTCTTAAGCATTAGGAAAATGCAAAGAGACATTTTATCTCACTGCAGTCAAAATGTCTATCATCAAGAATATGAAAAAAAAAGAACAATAAATTCAAGTAAAGATGAGAGGTAAAAGGAAGCCTTCTATACTGATGGTGGAAATGTAAATTAGTATAGTCCTCATAGAAATCAATACAGAGATTCCTTAAAAAACTAAAAATAGAGCTACCATTTGGTCCAGCTACACCACTCCTTGGTATATATGTAAAGTAACTAGAGACATCAAAACTTCCCCCCAAATATGAAACTAGTAGGGTAGGGAAAAGTAAAGGTGGGATTGATGGAGGAATGAAAATGAGTATGTGATGTCCCTATACAAACCTGCCAAAACAAAACCCATTTATCTGTATAACCAATAAAATAGGAGTGAATTTTTATAAAGAACATACAAAAATTGTTTACACATGAAAGATCTGCTTTTAAATTTTCCTAAAGATAAGCATTAGAATCGCTTATTTTGTAAACTTTTATCTAAGGTGGTCTTCTAGCTGGTCATTATCCATGAAGTTAGCAGTTGGTCAAGTGTTTAGAGTTACTGGAAGGAGTACATGGGGTTTGTAAACAGATAGAGTGTTTGCTCCCCCCACCCCATTCTGTCTTGTGACCTTGAACAAGGTGCTAAATTATTTTAAATTGCTATTTCCCTAACTATCAATTAGAGACAGCAAGGATGATCAATGACAATTTTATGAGGTCTAAAAGAAAAACAGTAAAACATGGTGTCAACTTGTATTAGTATTTTGATAAATGGTAACTATTACAATTGTTCATTAAAACATCAGTGAATCTATTTTCATCATTTTAAAAAATGGATAATTGTTAATTATAACATATAAATGTACAGTATATTGTATCAATGAATATTCATTCTTTTCTATTTCCTTAGAATACTCTTCAAGGCCTAGAACAACATCAGTCTTGTGACATGCAAAGCATTTTCTGAAAGAATATTCTCATTTGGAGAAATATAGAGGAAACAGAATGAATGATATTAAATAACATAGAAATAACAGTAGTTAGTATATATTGAGCACATATCCTTTGCTGGCACTTATCCTAGCATACTATCTTTTTCTCTCCATTCCCATCTAAAGTCAGAGAACATGTTGTCCTAAAGCCTATGATCCTAGTGGTTGTACTAATTCCTCCCCAAAGAGATCACATCCTACTCCAGTAATGATGAGTGACCATCAAGACATTCTCTGAACTAGATCAAGTAACAGTAGCAAAGAAAAAGAAATAGTGTAAGTCCCTGTCAAATTTATCTGTCCGTTTGGGCAGTCTAATTATGCATTAGTTGAAGAGAGATATAATCTTCATGAAAGCAGAAGATATTTTGCTTTTTATAAATCTTTCCTAAGTCATCCTTTGAAATTTTAGTGATTTAAAGATTGAGCTCCCTTCAGAATGACAAAGTCAAATTTGAACAGGTTAAAAAGATAAAGAATCATTATATTCTCTTTCAACAGACTTATTAAGTGTTTCTTAAGAACAAAACAACTCATTAAAAAGGTCACACTGTCCTTTTATACTCCAATTTACTCATCTAATCATTTAATCAGTTTAGCATCCCAAAAAAGAATGTAAATACTATTTAATTTACCAGTCAAGTTGGCTTATGGAAATTACTACTTAGCATGATTGCCTCTGGATAAAGAACAAGCAGGTAGGGGAAAAAATCTGTTTAATAAGGTCGTTTCACCCTTTTGGAGTGAGACTATCAAAAACATGTCTAGACTAGAAAATTATACATCTTGGGCAAAAATTCTCAATATTATTATAATTACCATTTTAAAAATAAAAATAATTTTCTGTGGTCTTTATATAAGAGATTTATATGTTCTATAGAATTTTTAAATGTTAACATTTTAAATAAGTCACTTACCTGTTTCAAATGCTCCTGTATTTTTGACTCCACATTTTCAATGTGTGAAATAATTTTGTTGACACATGGTGCTGGGATGTTTACTAGAGCACAGCTCTGCCTTCGACATGGGTAATTAAAGTAAATGGCTTTATTTACTTCTAAATGTAAGCAGACAGAGGAAGAAGTCAGTAGTTACATACAAAGTAATACATCTTGATGTTTAGTATATGCAAAAAAATGTTCTCCTGTATTAGTATTAATACTCAAAGTTTCTTTAATAAATGACAAAATGTCAATTAGAGAATAAACTTTCAAATAAGCTAAAAGAAGAAAGAAAATCATGATAACTTAATAATGGGACAAATAAATATGAACCTGAGAAGCCCAAGTAATTCATTGGAATTAAATATTTAATGTGTTCTATATCATTATAGACATTGAAAAGAGGAAGAAAAAAGACAGAAAAACAGTTTTTAAATAGATCTTGAAACACCTAAACACTCTGAAAAATATTTTAAATATGTCCTTCAAAATGATTCCACATTTCCCAATTAAATAATACCCAATTACTCATGCATTGAAAAAGTTCTTCCTTAAATCCAGCTTGAGTTTCTTTTGCTGAAAAAAATAAAAGCATGTCTCCTTCATCCTCATAATAACCTCATTTTCTCCCTTCCATTTCTGAAAATTGGAGTCTCATGCGAAGAGTGATTGATGCTTTCGCTATAGCATTCAAGCTGTACTCATCATAAAATCCACTCAGTCTGATGTGCCTCAGTGATTCTAATCCTGGAATGTCCTGAATCAACTGAAGGTTGCGGAAACATGGCAAAGTTGTCCATGGAACTCCACCAAAGTGCTTACTTGCAGTCCTTATTACTCTGAGGACTCTAGTGGCTGGGTTATGGTTACAGTCACTGATCTTAAATAGGAGACACAAAATTTGCCCTGTGTCTCAGTGAGAACAGGGTGGTGACCTCATTTCAGTTGACCTTGGAGAACAGAGCAGTAATACTGGTGCCTTTTGCTCCAGTGCCAGCCCAGAGAGAGGGTAAATACTTTCAATATCTTTATTTAAACTGCATCTTTTAAATATCTTAAATGAAGCCTCATAATATCTTCTTCTAGAAACAGCCTCTATGAAAATGACATATCTGTTCCCTTTACAAATAAAATTGTTTATTCTCTTCCATATATTTGACTATTATATATATATATATATGCATATGCATTGCTAGCTAACACTAACATTTTTATGACTAACACTGGCAAACATTTTTGTGACTAAATGAATTTAAGTGACTTTAGTGTCACATTTTATTAAATTCTCAAACAACCTTATGAAATGGCATTATGGTCTTGATTTCTTAGATGAATAAATCAAGGTGTAGAGAAATTAAATAACTTATCCAAGTCCACATTGCCAGTAGGTTGGAGAGCTGAACTTGAATATTTCCCTGGTTAATAAAAGGTAAGCTACCCTTTAAGGGCTATTTTTGTACATTAAAAGTCTAGAAAAATAAAGATTAGCAGTCCAAGAATTATTTCAAGGCATCTCAAATGTTTCATATGCTGCTTATTTTAATTTTAGAATGTTTCTTCATGGTATCAATACTGATATTACAACATATGTTAGTTTGATTTGACCATACCCTAAACACTTAGACTTCCAATGACTGTGCATTTTGTGTTATATTCTATCTTTCTTTTTCAGTTTAAATACAGGTATATATATTTTATCTCCATAACAACAAAACAGCCAAAGAAGACTATAATAAAAAGTACATATTGACCTCCTATCCAAATTATCGTGATAAGGACTTTTTGGCTTTCCCTCTAGGAATAAGGTTTTGATATATATTTAACAAGAAGGCAGCTGCTGTTATAATCAAAACATTTGTTTTGCCTCATTAAATGTAGGCTAAACAGGGATAGTAAATATTCATTTCATATTTTTCTAGACTAGGCCACTCTCTGTTTCCTCTTGTGAATACTAATTAATTACCACAGTACTCCTATGGTATTATGGATTATGATTGTACATGTGATAAATTAAAGGAAAATATATACTATGAATGTAAATTTGCACTAAAATATGTAAAAGACATAATCTAATCAACACAAAATAGAACCAGAATCTAAGAGTTCTTATTGCTGTTTATATCCTAGTGTGGGCATGGTATAATTTAACAGTTTTCCTTTGCATTTTACACAGTGTATTAGTTATGTTCTTATTGCTGAGACAAAATTTCCAACATCCACAAGTTAAATGAGGAAATATTTCTTTCAGCTCATAGTTTATAGGGGTTTAACTCCATAGTCAGCTGGCTCCAAGGCAGGAAGGCATGGCAGAGGGTCATCCCAGAGGAGTCCAAGCAGGCCAGAAAAGTGGCAGCAGCAGCCAGCCTTCCTTCTGTTTCTTTTATCCCATCCAAGTTACAAGCCTTTTGGGTGGTACCACCCATACCCATAATGGACCTTCCCATTATCCACAGCCAGAACTATGCTAAACCAATCAGAAGACTAATTTAGTACCTTATATCCTTAATCCAGATTCATACACTCTAGATCCAGCCACCTTTGAAAAGCCCACCTATGAACACATGAGGTTTTGAGGGGACAGCTAATCCAAGGCATTACATACAGTGATATATCATTACATACAATGATATAATCAAAAGATTACTGATCTAGGTGTCTATGTTCATTATTTTTACTTGACTGAAAACGAGCCATACATGTTAGGTAAAGCTAAGACCTAAACTTCAGATTTCTCAGTTTGATGTATGAGTTGGTAGGGTATTGTGAAGGTCTGTTTCACCTAAGATTCTGTAACACAATCAATTAACTGTTTTAGTCAAACATTGGTGGGACTCTTCTTTTCCCAAGCCTGTGTACAAATGATCAGGGGCATATATAAGAATTTAGCTCAGGGAGGGCTCTCATCTCTAAAGAACCTCCCCCAACTCCATATCTTCTTCCTCAGAATCAAAGCAAAAAAGATAAGATTCTTTTTCCCATCTCTAAGTCAGAATTCAGGTTTGCTGAGACTGCAACATGAAACTTCCACTTGAAGAAAACTTCAAGATAGGCTGACTGTGTGGGCAAATGAAGCAGAAAGGCTGTGTTTATAAACTGACACCTCTCCATGCACTATGAGTTTGATACTTACATAATTAATTCCTCCAGATCCAAAACTTTAACATTTTATCACTACAGTTCTTCCTTTCTTTATGCTTTTAAGATGTGCTTCCTTTATATGCATTACATCTCTCATCCTTTCATCTCAATTCAACATTCTAAGGAAAGCAATATAAATCCCTTCTTGCTTTGTTGTGCCTTTTACATCTTGATTTTTCTCTTCAAAGCATAAAATAAATTAGTGCTTGAGTTTAGAAAAAATTTCTCTCCAATGCAAAGCTGCTTCTGATAAACAAAATATCTCCCATTTTTTAATGGAAAAAATAAAACTCCCTTTAATTCTTATACAGGGGACATGGATAAAATTACCTTTCAAAGACTTTAGAATTATATTTCTATTGGATTTTACACTGCTGGAGAGACTTATCACTGAATGTAAAGAATACATAGACTGTAAGAGTTGAAGGTCACTGAAGACTACTTGTATACCAATCTCTTCCCCTATACGAAAGCTACTGTTCAGTGTTTACTTACTGCCAATCTCTTCAAGGAACTGAAGTTTCAAAACATTTACTTTTGCTTCCTTCAAGTAATCACAGATATTCTAGCTACTTTGCCTGACCACTTCCTGTAGTTATTGTTCTCTATTGAAATTTTGTTATGACTAGCATATTTTAGCAGTCTATACCAGCAGCCACAATATTCTCATGACCTGCTCTCTTATTCAAATTACAATTGCTATACTAGTGTTCAGATTCATGTTACATGGCTTTTTCCCTTGAAGGAATTTTTGAATCTTTCAAACACTGAGTGAATCTTTAGCACATTCCATTTCTCTTTATTATAACTGGTCATATTGCATTTTGCGGTATCACTGTTATCTGTTTTCCTGTCCATTTTCCTTCTGTTTTACATTCTTTTGGGAGACCAACTATACTTAATACCTTTAAATAATTGCTGAATAAATGAATAGGTAAATTTCTCAGTTGAAAAAATCTAATCTGCCTTCTGTTCTCTACACTTTTTGGAAACTTTGTTCCTAAAACCCACTAATTAGTATTTCTAAGACCAAAGATGATAGAGTAACTGATACAGAATGTGGCCTCCATTATAAACAACTCTAAATCTGTATTGGAAATATGAGAAAACTGTTTTCAGACATTAGAAAACAAATAGTGCAAAGCTTGGATTTCTGAGAACAGGGAAATTCATGAAGTCAAGTCTCACAATCACTGAACTCTCTGCTGAGGGACACTTTCCCACTCTGATACAGATATCTGGGAACAGAGCAGAATATGGCAGTCTTGATTGGAGGACTAATTAGTTTTGTAGGCAATGGAAACATCTGAAATCCTTAGGGCAGGAAAATTAAGAAGAAAAGCAATGCCCAGAAGGACCCCAGAAATCTATGGAGAGTGCCTTCTGATATCTGATTTATAAAATCACACAAGGAAAGACTTGCATTCAGAATATGCAGAGAAAATTTACAATTTACTACTCAAAAAAAAGCATAAGACTTAAACTCTTCACAAAAGACAAATGACTAATAAGCATGTGAATAAATGCTCACCATTATTAATCCTCAGGGAAATGCAAATTTAATTAACAGTTCAATACCACCTCCCACTCTAGCATAATGCCTAAAATTAAAAAGACTAGCAAGGTCAAGTACTAGTGAAAATGTAGAACAACTGGAACTCACACATTACTTTTGGAGATGGAAAAAGATAAAAACTTTGGAAAATGACAATATACTCTAGAAAATAGTTAGATAGCACTTTATAAAAGTTAAGCATAAACTTATCATAGGAATCAGTATTCCACTTCTATGTAGTCATGATAAGTAAACAATATGTTCATAAGATGACTTGCATGTAAATGTTCACAATAGGTTTATTCATAATAGCCCAAAATTTGAAAATTGCAAATATCTATCAATTTCTAAATTCATAGAAGATAAATTCATGGAAGATAAATTCAATAAGAGACTACTATAGTAAAGTAAAAGTGAACAAATTGATAATGTATACACTATAGATGTACTTTACATTTTCCTGAGTCTTTGAAAGAAGTTGAACACGAGTACAAATAGAATGATTCCACTTATTTGAAATTTAAGCATGGTAAATTGAAAATCTATCAGTGGTTGTCAAGACAGGGTGAAGTGATATTGACTGTAAAGGGGCTTGAAGGACTCTGGAAGGGAAGCGATGTCTACATCCTATTTGAAGTTGTGGCCAAATGGATATGTGCATATATCAATGTCATTGACCTATGTACCTAAATGAGTGAATTTTATTACATTTCAATTTTACCTTAATAATTTAGTTTTATAAAAAGATCACTGATCATACTCTAGTGACAAAATTCAATAGGCTTGTATTGTTAACCCCCTTTTTTCACTCTGTACTCCAGAATGTTTTAGAAAACACTTCCTTGAAATATCCTCTTTGTTTAATAACTTTCTCTAACTTCCTTACATACTTCTCTTCATATTCCTTGTAAAAATGACAACTAAAGAAATTAATAACTTCAGAAATTGACAACAAAGACAAAGAAATTATTTTCTAGCCCCATCATAGCATTGATGATAGGGAAGGTGAGGCTGAACTTCAGGGTCTTGGGCAGGATGGGAGGGAAAAAAAAGCACAGTTAAAACTAGAATGTAGGAGTCTAATACTCCCGTGTCTTAGCCAGGTAAATTTTCTGTGCTCCTTTCCTTTTTTTTTTTTTTTTATTTTGTTACTGGGGATCAAACTCAGGACCTTGCACTTACAAGGCAGGCAGCAGAACCACTGAGCTAAATCCCCAGCCCATTTTTTTTTTTAATAGAATGTACCCATTGAGAAGTTGATATGCTATAGACAAGGAAACAATGAAATTCACATCAGTAAGCCAAGATACCAAAGCAAGAAAGGCTACAGAGAAAAAGAAACATTTGTTATGATCAGACATAGGGGTAGAAAAAAACAAATGGAGATATCTAGGGGGAGTGTCAAGGTGAAAGGGCTCTGGCACTTTATAGGTGGCAAGAACTGTACCTGATTCACAGAGACGACTCAAAAAACTTGACATATTAAAGTGCTAAGACAGTCAAGACATTACAACATACAACTTTTGCTTATTATGATTCCTGCCCCCAATCTACTTGATTTTAAACATTTGGATTTTGCCAAGGTGAGCAAGTCAGAGGTAGTCCTGAAAGGACCAGCTCATTTACAAATCCAGTATCTATAAAACTGAACTCATCTTCATCTCACTCAGCCTTCTTTCCTTTCTTATATCTCATTTTCTGTTAAGAAAGTTTGCAACAGCTAAATCATCTTTGAATCCTCCATTTTTCAATCAAGTCCCTATATCTATCTATAAGGACTAGCCTGTTCCTATAGGAACTTAGTCAGACACTAAATCTTAATTCTTTTGCAATAGTTCTCTAATCTCTGTAATTTCCTTGTAACATTTTTCTAATCCCCTTCATAGCTATTGATCCCTCATAGACCAGTTCTTGTTACCACAAGTCTGAACTATAATAATAAGGTTATCAGATTCTGTATTTTCTCTTATAGCCAAATAATTTTGCAAAGCATGCTTAGACTCTAAAACAAAGCATTTTGTCACATAACATTACTATCAAATGTATTTAGGACCACAGAATGAGAAATAAAGAAACAAAGTTCACTTTCTTGAGCCCAAAATAAAAAATGCTCCTTGGCTGTATTTTAATAATTTCTAGATTTATACTAAACAACTAACTGCAGATGTGTGAATACTCCCTATGTTATCATCAAAATCATCTATCTTTCTCATATATTGAGTTACTTCTTTCCCATTGTTATTTGACACATGCAGTTCTGCTTGCATAAATCCACTCCTTTCTTTTCATACACAAAGGCATCCCTTATAGTTCACTTCAAATATATTCTCATCATTCATATTTATCTTAATGTCTTGGAGACTATTCAAGTAGACTTTCCTCAAAACTCTAAAGATATTTCTTATCCGTGGTATTCATTTGACATATGCTACTACTTTGTATCATTCTGTTCCTACTTTATTTAACCATTATTTTCTGTTGACTTGTACAGATTGTTGTGTATATTTTTATTTTCTTTGGTGTAGTAGATAATACACTTCTTGTAAGAGTCTTTTCCTAGATATATCTATATTGTAATAGCATATGGATATCTCAGTGTCTTGTTTCACAAAGCATTCACTTGATATTTAAAAATCTGCCCAAAATTAATTGTGGTTTATAACTAACTGCAGACAATAAACACGAAACCAAGATGGTAAAATTCTATTCAAGATGTCTATTGGACAGAAATATGTAAAAGAATCATAACAGTTACTTATTCAAATTTTATTCTGTTAAACTAAAATCCAAGAGTCAAATTTCTCAAAATGATAATTAAATCTTTTATAAATATAACAATTCTCCACCAGAATGATCTGAGAGGAAACTAGTATAAATGCCTACAAATGAAATATATATTTACTGATCTCTTTCCACCTCTGTCCACATACAATGTTAGAAACACTTTCAGAGATAGCAGTTATATTTTGTCACTAAACAATGTCTTCATTCGAGATTTGGTGGCCCTGGAACAGTCCTTCTTTCTTCTAATAAACATTCTCTGGTGAACTGGAAAGGGTTTCTCTATGGTGGCACCTACCAGACATAGTACAGATAATTAAAAATGCTTAAAAATTCATTCATTTCTGAAATTATGTAAATCTTATAAGCCAAGACTGGATATTATGAATATATTATGGATATGTTCCAATATTATATTCTTAACATTAGTTGTCAATTCTGTGCTAACAGTAATATATGGATTTTCTTAATAAAATACATTATTAATATCATAAACTAATAAGTAAGTATAAGCATAGCTTTCATAGTGTTCTGTGTGATTTCCATTCAGCCTCACCTTCAGTATTGGTCATTTTACTTTCATGAAAAACTTCAACAGCTTCTTTAGGAGCACCAACCAGCACCAGTCCTTGTGATATGGCATTGTCTTTAAAAAAACCACATGCACAAATACTTCAGTGCATAGTTATACATATTTTTAAATTTAGCAACAAAATATACAAAAACTTTATTGGGAAACTGCAGTCCTTTAAAAAAAACAACCATCATAAAAATATTAGCCAAACCCACTGTAGAACATCTTCATATTTTTTTCTCTGTGTTCTTTAGTTGCTTTAACTCTCACAAGAAGGTATTCTAAATAGTATGAAGCTACTCAAAGTAAACAGATAAATCATTATGAGCTGATATAGATGGAATTTTAAGCTAAAATGTTAAGCAAACATGGCAAGCCAAAGATTCATATGCCAGTGTTTTCATCACTTTTTATCTTCTACACAGGGAATGTATGTAATGGCTGAGAAACAGATATGTGTGGGTGTGTATGGAATTTTTAGATCAAGAAACTGCTAGGACAGGTCGCCTTTGGAAAGACAAAATATAGAGAAAGAAAATTCTATACTTTATTTCATAGTCTCTGAAGTATTTCAAATTTCTCAAATATAAGAATATATTTTCGACAGCTTAAAATTAAATATATCTACTTTACCTTGCAGCAACTCTACTCCTGAATTTTGATCCAAAAGAAATAAAGGTATACATCCACAAAAAATACCATCACAAAATGGTAGTTAGTTTTATTCAAAAGAGTAGAAATGAGACACAATTGTACACAGCAACTAAATGCCAAACACTAGAAAAATTATTCTTAAAAAGTAGTTTATGATCTTGCAATGATATAATGCTGATTAGTGAAAAATAACGAGCAAATACATCAAATAACATTGGGGAATCTCAAAATATATTGAAGAAAGGAAGTTGGAGAAAACATAGTGGAGATTGTATAAGTCTATTATGATCTTCAAGAAAAGATAAAAATCCATGAAATTATAAATCTAAGACTTGAGTGTTTCATATATATAATTCATTAGGTAAAATTTATTATGTAAAGGCATTAAAATATTTTATATACATGAATACAAGATTTAAATACTTGCAGAATATTTTGTGCAAATATTCCTTAATCATTTCACTTAGAATATTTAGACTCCAAAACACATTAAAGAATAAAATGAAAGTAAATTAATATATTAAAATACAAATGTGTCAAGGGAAAATTTTGTATCATAAAAATTATTAAGCTTTAAAAATATAAGAAAATATTTTGATTTGTTCAAACATTGTCAGAAATAACATTTAGAATATAAATGTTATTTGTAGCTACACTTTAATACTGATGAAAAATGAAAATCTAAATGGGTAGACAAGAACATTAAGGGTAAATACATGAGGAAATCTTTGTAAAGGTATAAGTAAGTGCTCAATAAACCAGTTATCCTGCTCATGTGGGCATGTTCACAAATACCAAGCAATGTATATTAAATGGTATTGGAAGCAAATGCCCCTACTTTCCAACACTCTGAAATTGTACATAATATCTACAATTTCAGTGTCTTTCTCTGATTCTTTCCTTTAGTTTCAGTGGTAGTGATATGAGTTTTTCCCATAATTTAGACTATTGTACTCTCTTTTGAGTTTTATTTTTATTCTCTCCTTCAGAGTAGACAGACATTCCAAAATATGCCCAAGTCTTGATGGCCACAAGAATTAGTAGTCAAAGAAATTAAAATTAAGATCATCACTAGAAATGGTTAAATAGCATGAAGATTTTTCAGTGATTTACAAGTCTAGTAATATCAAGTGGTAGCAAGAAAATGGAGCAATTAGAATTTATATGGCTCTGTAAATTAATATGGTTACTTTGACAATAATCTGGCGTAACGTAATAAAAATCAAAATACAAATACTACATATTTAACTAAGTAAGTGTTAGAGAAACCCACTCAGGATATACACATTAGGTTTTAGGATGTTTCCAGAACCATTGTTCAAAATAACCCCAAACTGGGAATAAACCAAACGGTCTTCAAAAGATGAAAATGAAGCTGGAGAAAAGTGAATGGTATTATTTTACAAAGGAAAGCAGGGTGAATGAAACTCAGTAACATCAAACAACAGAAAACCACAACATGGATAATGACAACAAATAATGTTGAGCAAAGGCAGCAATATATAAATATTAACACAATATAATTTCAGTTATTAAACATGTGAAACTCAAGTATATCTTTAAAGATATATATATATATATATATATGCAATAATACAGTTAAAACTTTAAAAGAAGATTATGGAAATTGTTATCACTAAGGTTCAGATATTGGAGAATATGAATTTTTGTTCAGGAGGGTACAGGGAGATCCTGAGGCCCTGGGCATAGCTGTCCATTGCCTGAGTGCACATGACATAGATCTATCATCTGTCTATCTATCTATCTATCTATCTATCTATCTATCTATCTATCATCTGTTTATTGAGACAGGATGCCACTATGTTGCTCAAGTTGGTCTTGAACTTCTGGGATCAAGTGATCCCCCTCCCTCAGCTACCCAATTAGCCAGAACCCTAATCATGTGCCACCAGGCCCAACATCCTCATACTCATTTATTAAGAATACACATATAAGACTGCTGACTCTTATATAGCAAGCCATTAGCAGGTGCTCCTCAAGGCCACTGTATCAGGAAATTAATATATCAAAGTAAATTCCTGATGAATTACAGAACTTAAAATATATTAAAGTAGAAATGGAATATAGCATAATTATACATTATTTCAACAATTTAATAACATCAAAAAGGATAATTTTACTATTTATGAATCAAGATAGAAATTTTTTAGGCAGGGTTGGGCAATTATTTTAACTAAATATGGCACAAAAAGAAATAATATATGAATACTTCAGTTTTCATTAATATAAGATAAAAATCATAATAGAAATCAATTTATCATCAGAAGGTAAAAATGAGAAAAAAATTTTAAAACTAAGTGAATACATGAAAATTATTCATACTCTTTAGTAATAAAAATGTAAACAAAATAATTTGGAATCAGGTCATTTTATATTTGATAAATTAGCTATTTAATAATGATTACATAAGATATGGTATGTTGTGGTAACATTGACATACACATAGCTTATGCTTTGGTACATTTATGGAAAGCAATACACCAACGCTCATATTTTGTCCCCCAGAAATTTCAATTTTGAATACTTGTCTAGAAATAAAACCAATAAAATTAAAGTTAAACACAGATTTCAAAGGACGTGGTGAAGTAAGACATCTGAAGTTCCATCATTCTGTAAATACAAAGAAGAAAAAAGAGGCAAAGTTCTCAAAATTAACACTCTTGGGACAGTGGACATATACCAAAATAACATATCAGCAACCCAGGGAGCATTTATTTAAAAAGAACAGATAAAGTTTGGAAGAATACAATTTTAACTTTCCTTAGTTCCATCCCTGACTCTCCAGGTCCACAGAGCCTTGACAAATAAAAGACAACTTTTCTGACGCCACAGGAAGCAGAAGAGAGACTACTTTTAAAGCCTCATTTCTAAAGAGTTGTCATTTTTAGACATATCTGGTCATTCTCTGGAAAATTCCACTTACAAAGCTATGTGCATGATCAAGAAAAACCTAAGAAAGCCCTAAACTGTCTTCTCTGGTTGACTGGGAGACTCCAAGAGCAGGAAGCACAACTTTAAGGAGCAGAGCCATCAGCTCCCGGGGTGGTTGCTGAAGGTCTACCCTGACATCCACATGGACCAACACAGACTAGAACATTTATTTGTTCCAGTCATTTAAAGAAACATTTGTTCAATCATCAATTGATCACTAAACCAACTGAGTAAGAACTTCAGTTCCACATATGACCAAAAAAACATATTGAAGACCAAAAAGTTACTGTTAGGGTTTATAGCTACATGTCCCCCCTAAAGGTCATACACTTATAGGTGGCCCTTCTGAAAGGTGTTTGGATTATGAGGGCATTATGGCGGACTTGCTGCTTGGAGTTAGGGTTTGGTGAGAAGAGACGTGTCACAGGGCTTCATGACCAAGAAGCCCTGCTCCTGCCCTTCTTAATCTTCTTCCTGAATGTCATGAAGCAAGCTGCTTTCCTCCCCATACCACATTCCGCTATACCATTCTTCCTTGGAACTGACTATGGACTGAAAGCTCTACAAACAGTGAGCCAAAATAAATATTTCTTCCTTCAAGTTCTGAGTGTCAGGTATTATGTCCCAGCAATGAGGAAAGCGACTAAGACAGTTACTAAAAGACTAAATCATTCAATCGACAGCTACAAAAATCAGCAATGAAAACAAAACTTGGGGAAGAGGAATTCGATGTCCAAAATTATCACATTGCAGGTATACCTTGTTTTGGCATGTTTTGCTTTATTGCCCTTTTTAGACATTGCATTTTTACACATTGAAAATCTGTGGCCACCCTGTGTCAAAGCAAGTCTACTGGAACCATTTTTCAACATTTGTTTACTTTATATGTTTGTATCACATTTAGGTAATTCTGTCACTATTTCAAATTTTTCTTTATTATCAGTCATGATGATCTGTGATCAGTGATCTTTGATGTCACAGACATAATTGCTTGGAGCGCCACAAACTATCGCCATTTAGAACAGCAAACTTAACAAATGTTGTGTTTGTTCTGACTGCTCCCCCAGCTGGCCCTTCTCCCATCTCTCTTCATCTCCTATGGCCTCCATATTCCCAGAGACACAATATTGAAATTAGGCCAATTATTAACCTTACAGTGGCCTCTAACGGTACAAGTGAAAGAAAGAGTCACAGGTGTCTCACTTGAAATCAAAAGCTAGAAATGATTAACTTTTTGAGGAAAGCCAAAACAGTCAGAAAGCAGGCTTCTGGCATCAAATAGTCATCCAAGTTGTGACTGTAAAGGGTAAGATCTTGAAGTAAATTGAAATGTTTACTGTAGTGACTATACAAATGACAAGAAGGCAAAACAGCACTATTACTGATACGGAGAAAGTTTTAGTGGTCTGGAAAAAAAATCAAATGAACTGCAGCATTCCCTAAGCAACAGCCCAGTCCAGAGAAAG